TTAATATTAGTCTCACAATCATTAGACAGTGGGACAGTCTCATTAATATGTACATTTAATTTGTNATTAACTAAAAACTTGATTCTGTTTCTGATTGTCTTAAAGATAAAATTCAATGGATAATTATTCNTAAGAAGAACTTCAATCATAAATTTAAAATTATCTTCATGATAGCAAGGGTCAGATAATAAAAAAACTCTATCAACCATACTTAAAATAGTACCTATTTTTTGTGATTTTGGATGGGAAGAATAAAAGTTTAAATATCTCCCTGAAAAAGTTGATTTATGATACAAATCAAAACTTAATTTGCCATCAAAATTTAAAATTTTAATCTCAAGAAAACTTAAAAAATTATTTTTTTGTACTTCAATTGTAAATTGTAATCTATTATGATAACTATTAAAATTGTCCAATAATAACTGTAAACTATCAATAGGTGCAGTCAAAATAATATCGTCNACATATCTAAAGTAAAAAGAAGGTTTAAAGTTCAATTTTTCTAAAACCGATTTCTCCAAATCTTGTATCACAATATCAGCTACTATTGGAGAAAGGGGGGAACCCATTGGCATACCGAAGGTTTGTCTATAAATTGTATTATCAAAAGAGAAAAACGTGGATGTGTTAATACAAAATTGATTGCTTCTAAAAATTCGTTTAAAGGTATTTTTGTGTTTTTCCTTATATACTTCCATCTAACTTTAAGACTTTTTATAGCCAAATCAATAGGTATATTCGTGAATAATGATATTACATCTAAAGAAATAAGTAAGTGGTCTTGTTGAATAGTAAAATTATTCAATTTTTCAACTAATTCAAAACTGTTTCAATGTGACTGTTAGCATTAGGTATACTTTTAAGAATTAATTTATGTAGATATTCAGCAAACCGATGTAAAGGGCTATTAATAGTAGAAACAATTAATCTAAAAGTATTATCATTTTTGTGAATTTTTGGAATCCCATATGCTCGAGGTAACAAACCATCACTAGATCTGACAGATTTATAAGTTATATCTGAAATATATTCTTTATCAGCCCATTTTTTTAAAAGTTTATTAAGATTATTCTCAATTTTTTTAATGGGGTTCTTATCAACCAAAGAATAAGTTGATCGATCATCAAGCATACAATTTATATTCCTAACGTAAGAAGTTCTATCAATAGCAACAGTCACATTGCCCTTGTCAGCGCGTGTAAACATAATGTCAGGATTATTCTTTATAAAATTCGACACATGTTTCTCTCTGGATAAAAGTTCTTTGTCAATGTCAGATAATCTTTTCTTCGTACACAAAGCGTTAGTCAAAATTGGAATCACATGCGATCTCAATGATTCTGTTGTTTTTTTATTGTAAAGTCTTAAATATTTAAGATATTCATCTCTCTTTGTTATCGATATAAACATGTTTGTATATTATATGATGATGGTGGAGAAATTTGTATATATTGATGTGTGTTAAGATCGCGCGCTAGTACACAGTGTCCTGTGCTGACTGTTTTGGATGCTGTTTGCTCGCGTGTTATCTCTTTCACAAGTATGTATGATAATTCTTATATTTATTTCTTTTTATTTGTAATCACGGTTTTTCTTAAATGTTTTGCGCTTTTATTCTTTAATTTACTATTAGATCACATTTCTATACACTGATGAAGGTCTAAACCATTGACCGAAACGTCTGTTGAATTTAATAAAGACTATTTGTGATACACGACCAACTTGTATTTTACTGCTCGGATCGGCCTTTCAACTCAATCTCTTGACTATTACTTTTGTTACGTCCTGGAGACTCCACGGTCTCTTTTTTCTTGCAACGCGACGCGCCAATGCATAACAAACCCTTTTCTTAGTAAATGATGAGAAGCAATAACTAATTCAAACGGGTCTCCTATCGTATGGAGTCTAAGTTTCCAAACGATAGGAGAGCAAACGGAAATCATATTGGCACTCGAAAAGATAAACCGCGCCTAGTAATAACCCAAAATTTTGCTATAACGAGCAAACAAAATTTATTGTTTAAACACTCTGAGCAGCTTTCCAAACAAACCCGGATATCTCTGGGCCAAGAAGAACGCCGCTTATAAAATTTAGAGTAGGGCAAATAGAACTCTGGCGCCATGAATAATATACAAAAATTTTATTATAAACAAATAGCAAAGGGTCTATGTGGCGTGATCAAAAACTAACATTCTCCCTTTTCCCTTCTCCAAAAAATCGGACGAGCCGACCGAGGCGAGAGATCGTCACCGATTGGCTATCTCACGAAGTTTACCCGACCACTAACTAACAAATAGGAACTAGCAAAGCTCAACTGAGTTTTCCGATTAGGAGAGTTCCCGCTTACTCAAAATTGTATATAAGCCGGGACTCTCAGAACCGGAATCATATAAGAGCCGCTGATCTTAAGAGTCGGGAGTGTCGTGGTGCAAAGAGTTTCAAAAGTGAAGTTCGGTGCAGTGAGTGCCTAACCAGGACACCGAAGGCGCACTGGTTTTCAACCCTCTACTCCCGAGTGCCTGCAGCCAATCTGACACCGCCGCACCTCAACCAAGTAGTAAGTGCTTTTAAGAAACCAATTGATTACTGAGGTTCCACGAATTAGAAATAGAGATTGAAGAAAAGAGAAAAACCCGCAGCTGCTCTTCAAGGAGATCCGAGAAACGTATTCGCGAAATAAAAACGATAAAGTCTCGCACGAATCAGACACAGCAGCCGCAGTACTGGACTGTCTAAAATAGCCTCTTATCTTCTTCCTCAATCAGAGAGGATATCTGCGATCCTTAATCGTTCTGGATGACTTCTGATAAACATCCGCGATCCTGAATCGCTCTAGATAGCCTCTCATCTTCTTCCTTAATCAGAGAAGATATCCGTGATCCTGAATCGCTCTGGATAGCCTCTCACCTCCTTCTTTAATCAGCGAGGATATCCGCGATCCTGAATGGTTCTGGATGACTTCTGATAGACATCCGCGGTTTTGAATCGCTCAGGATAATCTCCGGATTCTCCATTTTAATTTCGTATTCTCAGCGTACAAGAAACTTGCCGTAAACAAATTTTTCTTCCTCTCCTCGCATCTTGAAGGCTTAACTGCGGGTTACTCAAGCAAATAAGACTCTTGCAGCTTATCAATTAAATAATTGATTTAAGTGGAACCTCGCAAACACACTTCACGGGCGACAATAAAGACTCGACGCAATCAGCGGAACCAAGCCTTGCGCCGAGCCGCTGCATTCGCCTTGGGCAAAGCTGAGCCGGACAGGCCTAACCGCCCGATGCCTACCACCCCCGAAAAACGTTCTAACGTTGACCACGCGGATAACAACGACAATAATATAAAAAACTTTTGCGATACGCACACAAATCTATCTCACGCACACTCACACTCACCGACGCACTCGCACACAAGCGCTTCTCACGCAACCTCACACGGCGACATACAGACACACACCACGACGACGATTCGCGGTATGAATCCCCTTCTTACTCACCTATAAGTCCCGATAATCCTCCCGCAGATACTCAACCCTCTCCTGTTTCTCCCACGAGCAATCCACCGCTCTCACCTCCTCGCTCCCCCTCTCCAGCGCCCCCTGAGCCCTCTTGTCCTGACGAAAATCACGCGGATGACGAAGATGCCGAATCCTCTCGACCGATCACCCCACCACTCGACTCTAAATTACAATATTTCTTTAAATTAGCCTCCACCTACCGAATGGCAGATCCTAATAAAATACCTTATCTAATAGACCCACTAAGAATCGATCCTTCCGACCTCTTTCATCTGATATCTACAACTCCATCTAAAAAACTCCTCCCTGTCAGATTCCCGTACCTCAATGACATCCGACTTGTCCCAGTCCGTCATTTTTATACCATTTCTCCTAGCTTCATAGAAATCCGCGAAATTATAGAAATTGACCTAGATTAATCTAATTAACCATGCCACGAATCGGCGCCACACACTTCCTCCCGACATACTTACATTTATAGAACCCCGCCGGGGTTAATAATATAAAAAACCCCGCGATACACACACGCACATATATACACATACGTCTTTCCTCCCTCCCGCCTCCGAGCGATGACCCTCCGATTCTTTGTAAAATTCGCGACACAACATCCATCCACGCTACATTACACCAACCGAGGAAATCTGTAACGAATACGCGATATGAATAAATTAATATTCCACATAATTAATTCATTTTATTGAATCGACCTCTCATTCTCTACATCCTCAATTGATCGTACGGTCTCGTCCTTAGTCAGTAGAGTTTAATTTCTAGACTTAAAAAGAGACCGACGAGCGGGGCCTCATGGAACAGAGTAAGATCGGCATATGCTGTTGACCTGTTCGTGAGAGCATACAAACTCGCTCGACTCTGCCGCAACAGAATCGCCTACCTGCTGCGCGAAGACAGAGAAACGACAGCTCTCTGTTACTCCACCATAGCCCGACCGTAACCGTGGGCCAAGACGTAACACTTTTAGCCTTTATGAATTTCGTTTATTTTATAAATATGTAGAAAATATAGTTTTGTGTGTGAGAATGTGTGTTTAAAGTATTATTTATTTAATAAAAACAAAATATTTCTATATCTAAATATATCTAATGTAATTTTCCTCGCTCTCGATAATTGGTGGTGGTCTTCTTTTGCTGATCTTGTTCCTCCATTGATTAAGATCTAAACATACAAAAAACAAAATTAAAATTTTAAATACATATATTGTGTTACATATTATTTTTAAAATGTTAAAAATTGTGGCATGAAAAGTGCCAATAAATAATTGAAAAAATTATTAGGTTTTGTCAATCTTAAAATTTGGCACTAAAATGTGCCGGTTGATTATTGCAACAAGCAAAAGAGAGATACTTCAACGTATGATAATTACAACTAAGCACTGAAAAGTGCTGTTGTGCCTTCTCTCGTAAAATCCGTAATCACACAATAAAATTAAGATAACAATGGATTCTCACCCAAATCCCAAAGAATTCGTCGAATGCCAAAGTACTCTCAATTTCAATGGCACAGATCTGATACGTGCTTTAAAAGAGATTAAAAATTAAAATCTTCCGCAATCTCATTGAGAGTCCTCATAATCATCCTCCACGAACGATGTTTCAACGGCTTCTCAATACATTGTTTTCCATTTCGTAGCCTTTATGTACGGTGGTTGTCTTCTCATCTTCCAAGACTCTTAACTAAAACAGAAAAAAAATAAAACTTAACATAAAATTCATACTTGTCGCCGTACTTAAATACGTTGATTTCTCACGTTACAATTAAGACAATTATACAGATAAGAAGAAAAAACAAAGTTACTCACACTTGAAATCAATCACTCGTTACGCTCTTGTGGTTGCTCTGGTTGCTCGTCGCTCCATACTTGGCGACGGTTCTTTACGACGGGTTTCTGCTGAGCATTACGTGGCCCGCGTGTTCTGCTTCTAAATCGCTGTTTTGCAATTCGCAGAGTCTCTCTGATCTGTGCTTGAAACTCTGAACGTGACGGCTTTTCAAAATGACGATTCTAAGATACAGCTTCTGAAAAGAAAATATAAGGTATTATTAAGAAATTACATGTTATTAAAAGTGTTTCACTTTAAACACAATGGTTTGTATAAAAAATAATCGGGATTGTACCGTAGATTGCTACAACAAAATGAGTGTTTTATAATGATTGTCTTCCTTCGCGACCTCACCAAGTATAAGATGGGGTTACAGAATCTTTGAGTCCCTCCTTCAGGCACAGATTTACAGCTTCCTTAAGTGTAAAGCCACCGATGTAGCGGAAATAATTCACCTGAATAATAATTGGAAATGTGTGTGTAAATGTACTGTTTTTAAAAATTTATAAAGAAAGAGCGCGTAAATTTTTGTCTTACAATTGTTGAATAAACATCATCGTCGATAATTTCAAACGCATCTATTTCTTCAATTGATGATATAGGAAGGATCTCCGGCTTGCGTGGCATACGTTTTCCATCTTGCACGCACTTCAGCACATGTTCCAACATTGTAGTTATTTTTCTGCAAATATATAAAGCGTTAAAAAATCAATTGTGTAAATATCGCGTAAATGCAAGTTACTTACTTGAATTTGGCATCCATAACATCAAAGCGTTCGTGTATTCTTCTGCGAACATTAATTTACCAAAGTTGGGAAAGTTACTTTATAAAAGTAAAAAGAATTAAGGAAATGGCAATAACAAGCCAACACCAGACGTTCGGGCACAACTCCTCCACAATTCCAAGATTTTAAAAAAGTTCCAACAAACGTCTTGATCTACTATGGGATCTTCTTCAGTGTTTTAATAAAAACTTACAAAAATAATGATCCATTCAAGATCATGAAGATTATAGATAAGAAAAGATATGCTACATGGATATTCGGTTAAGAAAAAGAGAGGCGAAAATGGCAGTCACGTAGTCATCAGTATTATGCAACAGAACATCGCATCATTATTATTTATAAAAGTAACTCGTTACCGTTACCGTTCATTTTGTTAACAAGTTACTCGTTACCGTTACCGTTACAATATCCGTTACTTTTTTTGTACGTAATACAAAATTTATGCACAACTTTTTTATTTTAAACGTTAAATACTACAAATTTATAGTGATCACTAGAATTTTTTAAATATTAGTTTTTAGTAAAGTAACAAGTTTGAATATAAATTAAAAATTTTGATGTTATTAATGTAAATTGTAAAAATTTTAATAATAAATAATAAAAGTAATAATTTTAACAATACGATATTTGAAATAAAGAAAATGTTTAAAAAGGTGTAAATAAGCTTTTTCTTGAAAATTTGTAAACGCTATAAATATAAATTTAAAATTTTTTCATATTGCTAAATGAAAGCTATATAGTTTTTCTATAATTTCATATTACAGCATATACAAATTTAAAAAAAAACCTATTTACAACTTTTTAAAAGATATTCTTATTTAAAATCTTATCAAAATTATTAAGAGTTTACATATTATCAAAATTATTAAGTTTACATATTATTAAAATTATTAATTTCATATATTATTAAAATTATTACATTTTATATGTCAATAACAATATTATTATTAAACTTATGTTATGTTTGTTATTTTACTAAAACATGTTTGAAAATTTCTGCTGTTTAATTTAACATCGTTGTTTCAAAAACTTTTAACCTGGAAAGGTTTGTTAGAAATTGCAGGATTTAAAATAAAGTTTGAAAATTTTATTTTTGAAATTCGTTAGTTATTTGTAACAATATTTGCTGCTTAATAGTATCATAAAATATTTATCCTTAACTACCGATATTTGGACTGGACCATTAAATACAAAAAGTTATCTAGGCTTAACAGCACACTTCCCACACAGAACATGATGTCTATTAGAGATCCATATAACGTCCACAGCTCCATCTCCATGATAGATGACAGATGGATGTCTAATGCATATCCATACTACGTCCACTATAGATATCCATATAATATCTAATATGAACATCCATCAGACGTATGTTATGGATATATAATAGACGTATATATTTTCGAAAACTTAATAAATTATTTTAAAAAATGTTTACTGTGCTTTTTTGATTTAAATAACTGACCGTTCATTATTGCATAAAAAATATTTATATAGTTTTGTGCTACATTTATCTCCATGATGAATGACCGATAGTTTATATAAAATCCATTATGAACATTGCCAGAGAAGATCACACAACTATCACCAGCACCAATCTTTTTGGAGAAATCTCAGGTAAAGTTTAACAAAGTATATATAAACAGAATCAGCGTGATTGTGCGATCCTGATTATCACAGAATTTCAACGTGTCAATGTGAAACAATAATTGTCTTCTATGTTGACACTCTGTGTGCAGGTTATGTGCTGGTGACAGGTAAAGATTTTGAAAGTTAATTTCGGAGTCTATCTATTCTTTTTCTTTTTTTTCTTTATACGAACGTCTACTGTCTCTTTCTTTAAATCCGACACGACAATTGCAATATCACCGCTCAACCAAATGCATCGGCTAGTGAGCTTCTCGGTAATTGCATGCGACACACGACCAACCGCCGATTTCAAATTCAATGTAGCGCGAAACGTACAACGATGACCTCTACGTCACCTCACGCTCTCACTACTGACAGCCGATAAACGACTTGCGCCTTGTCCCGACTCATACATGCAGGAAAGGGCACTCAATAAACGATAACACTTTTATGCGGCGTTGTCTTTGTTTATCAAGAGGCACGGTAGTGCCTCGCGCCAAGTTCACGCGCAACGAAGTGGCGCTCGAACTGCGCGAGCACACTGTGCCTCTTATACGCGAAATTCATGCAATTGAGAAGTGGGGAGATTTTCTCGGGGCAATATTTCAAGAACGACTATACCAATCACTTTTTTTTTAGTCTCAATCCATTCAGAATAAAACAGTTTGAAAAAAAGTATTATTGCGTTTTTTTGGTTTATGACTTCTAAACCGAGATAATGGAAGAGAAACAAAATGTGTATATAAAATCACGTAAGAAACGTCATTGTCTCCGCTAGACACTGGAGCGTGCAGTTTCATCATGTTTCCCTACAGATGGCATTACTACCGTGGAAGGAAAGAAAAGAGAAAAGCAGTGAACAAGAATGAGATTCAAATCACTTCAAAAAATAAGTATCTTACTTATTATGATTATATATAAATAGTCTTACTTATTATGATTATATATAAATAATAAATATTGACCGTATGTCAATTTTTTTATTTTAACCTCCAAAAAACAGCATTCCAATAATAATAAAGCAGACCGATGTTAAGTGACGATGATGAAGAGAAAGATCTAAGGCAGTATATATTAAACCCATGTTAATTCGGTGTTTGGAAAGTTCCCGAAAACGCGGTTTTACAATAAAGCTTATGAATGACGAATATACGCATTTGACTTATTTTAATATTCTACATTTAACGATATATAGTTCCTTTTGCAAATCGCGGATATCTCGAGAACCAGAAAAGATAGCTTGAAACTAATTTTGCAAGTACCTTCAATCGGCTACTCTGCGATTTATGATAAAGAGTGAAAGTTAACAAATTGAATATTTCGAGAACGGTACAAGGTAGA